AACTCTGGCCCAATACCTAAGAAGGATACAAAATCTCTAGCTACTACTGTACCGGTGCCTGTGGCTACCCAATGCTTCATAGCGAAGGCTACCATAACTTACTTTCGATTGCAATTACAGAACCTCCTGACACAAGCATGTCAAACATTTCCATTCTCCTCTGTAGCTTTCAACATCGACCTTTGTCCCCTATCAAGCCCACCACGACCTATCCGTCCCAACAGGGAACGTTATCGACGTCTAGCTCTTACAGTGGCCACTCACATGTGACACGATCAGAGAAAGTGCACGGTATACGACATTCACGACCGTTTGGCTCATGCCATCGAGAGATTTAGCTGCATGTTCGCTGGTTTCGTCGCTCGTTCGTTTTTAACGTAACATACACCGCAGTGGCCAGTTTGCCCGAGGATTACGCGAATGGTTAGGATGTTTATGCGCGAAAGAACGAGTCAGGCGTACTCTACAGGCTGGGGTATTAAATCAGCTTGGCTTATTCCATAATCAGCGGCCTGGATTGTTCGGCCGTTTTATCGGATTACTTAATGGAACGGACGGGTGTCATTCCTACTCTAGCATAACACGATGACTTTACTGCTTTTTCTGAAAAATTCAAGGTTTATCGCGATGAAAATCCGATTGAGCGTTTATCCGTCCTTGCTGCGCCGGATCGCGAGGATCACGAAGACATTAGCGACAGTTTCTTCTTGTTATCGTCGTTAACAAATAATATTCGACATTAGGCTGCAGATAAGACAGAGGTTTAGCAGAGCTACAATCGGAGTTCATTAGTAACTCTCGTGCTCTGACGAATGTCTACAGAAACTTGGACAGAGGGCGTCCCGGTGTTTGCATTCGTAGCCTCCCGTTGTCTTTCTGGACTTTGAAAAGGAAGCTTCTCCATTGGGCGAATATAAATACGATACACGATTGAACTCATTCAACGATATTATCAAATCGTGTCTCTCTTCGAGACGTGGATGCTCTCTTGCATTCCTGTCTTTGGACCTATCAGTGACACGAGTTCATCGTGCTAATATCTAATCTCGAGTACTCGAAATAATTAGACTACGAACCGCCCGAGGCTCACAGCCAACCCTGTGATTAAAACGAGACACGACGAATAGAAGCTCCTAGGAGGACTCTAGAATGCACTCGAATCCCCGACAAGCGTCTTAAAATTTAGGTCAAGCTTGGTCCCGTGGACGGGGAGACCTGCGACAAGCCGCGAGAGGCGCTGAAAGTGACTGAAAGCTGTGGAGGATCGGTCGTCGGGGCAGTCACGTTCTCGCTTCGTGGCGACAAAAAGGTTAGAACCGTTTAATTTGCCGGCTCGTGCGCTCGTAATTAGTCATACGCGGCCGACGAAGTCGTAAAGTAAACGGTTCGACGGCAGGTTACCCTATAGATCTGTCACATCTGTCATACGGACGCATTGAACTGACGCAACGTGGCATCGAGACAATCGTACATAGAACACCCACCGCGCTGCCTGGTTACGTCACAGCCACCGGCCTGCCCCCACTCCGCGCGCCGGAAAGCGTCACGAACTTGAGGCGTGTTTCCAACGCGACGAAACGACTGCCCGGACGCATTCGTTTACGCGTCGTCCCCGCGTGTTCCACTTGGTCACCGGTAGAAAGTGAAAATAAGTTCCCGGTATTAAACGCGGTCCGCCCGTTCCGGTGCTGCTCGCTGCTGGGGCCAATTAGAGACGTCTGTCCACCGAGAGGCTGCTGGGAGTCGGACTCTTCATTAGCGCCAGCAGCTGTGCGGTAAGTTCAAGGTCGTCGCATTTGGAATGGCGGCGAGGAGGGAGATCGTTTTCCTCTGTCGCGGTTTGGTCATAGGAGTTAGAGGTGTCGCAAGGTTAGAAATCTTACTGACACGGTGGACTTATATCACCGTATGCCGTGTGTTCGTGTTGTTTGAGAGTGAGGTTAGTGACCTTTCGAATGAGAACGGTTTCGTTTGTTTATAACTTCTAGAGGATACATCGTGTATCTTTTTAGGTGAAATGGTCCGATTTTGTCAGGGAGGAATGACGTTTTGGATAATTTTTTAATAGTCGTAAGGATACTGCACATTGTCGATTTCGTGTTTTAAATTTCTTTGTCTTGGGGTAGTTTTCAGTGGAGAGGTCTGTTTATACGGAATAAAATATTTCAAATATATCAGCAGGTTCTTGACAGGTTCTTGGCTGCACTGAAAGGGTATAGAAATTTCGATGCAGTTTTACTGAAGCAGATTTAAGCAGTGGAGGATTGGAACGATAATCCGGTCGTAGACTTTGCGAACAAGCGATATCGCGATAGTATGGTGGTGAAAAAACAGGGAAAAAATTGTACAGTGGGAAATGTTCGGTGTGCGAAGTTCGTTGGTAACTTCCCAAGGTACCGTGAAGTTGCAAATTATGATCGTTTACTTTCCGAACGTTTCGATTACACCGGTAAAAGGGTGCTATCATACAGGAAGTACCGGTTTCAGCGGCGAAGTTGAGTCGCGTTGGGCATGGTTAGTGCTCGGCTGGCTAACCACTTAGGAGGTCCGTGTGAAGTAGGTTTGGATAATTCGAAGCCCACCTAACAGCAAATCCCCGGTAATCGCTTTTCTGATAGATACTTTTATTCCCCGGGTTATGAGAGATTCCGTGCAATACGAAGAATTCAAATATCTTAAAATTACGCTTAATTACAAAGCACTTGTACGAAGAAACACTTGTAAAACTAGGGATCAGAACCAATCAAACGACCGTGTCCATCAACCCCATAAAACGCAAACGGTATAACGCGGGGAGCCTCACGGTAACATTCGACTTGATGCTTTCCCAATAATCACGATTGTAATTATCCGATGCGATAACGTTGCCATTTTATTATCCACCGATCGGTAAAAACTGTATTTATGTCATAATAGGTTTTTCAAAACGCATAACGTTATTTATGCTATCCGCGGTCCTCGAAACGAGTCACGTGGTAGCAACGACCCACCAGCGCCCGCCATTTTCTTTTCCTCTTTTCCTCGGGCTCGACGACGATCGTCTAGCTTGGACAGCACGCAACGCAATGATCGTTAATTGAGCAGTAACGGATAATTTTTATCGGTCCCGCTTTTCGCATAAAACGCGATTTTTCCCGTTGGTACGACATCGGGTTCGCGTCGTAACGACCTAGCAGTTCCCCATCATCACGCTACGCAATAACTCTCTTCTATTACGTGGCACGTCCTATGTGGAGCACAGGCGGCCCGCTCTTCATCAGCTAGATCCTACGCCACGCCGTGGATCGACTTTAAAGCTCAATTATTTATATACCAGGCCGGCGTTGATTCGCCCATGCGATGATTACGCCAATCATAATACGCTCGGCCCGCTAACAGCTCGACATTGTGATTGGCCCGCGGACGGATCCGCGGCTAACTACTCGCAGAAATCAAGCAAAATAGAAAGAAGACCGATCCTCAATCACGTGTAATTGTACTCTGTCTGTTCACCGTCTCTGCACACCCTTCGTACTTAGCGATGCACACCATCTTCTATTCGTCGCTTCTCCGATTCTCATGCACCGGTCTTCTTCTCCGTTACCTCTCTCCTCTGTCAGACACCTAGGGATCGCTCTCGTGTTCACGGCTGCGTTTATTCAGATCACGCGTTCGGTTTTTAACCCGGAACACACGAGGCTCTTTCAGCTTGTAATCCATCTAGCTTGTAATCTGTAGTCGCTGCAACTATGTAGACGACTATGAGGATTGGGAAGATTTTTAATAACTGCTCAAAGCAGTGATTCCACTATCGGTAACCGGTGGTTTGAGACGATAGCCCGTGTTGAACGGCACAGACGAAGGATACCGTGGAAGCTGTGCATAGTTTGATGTACCTATGTTCTCTGACGATGCTATCCGCTGCGCGCTTTCCTTCGTCTTCCGTTGGACTGTTAACGAGCCATTGCTTTGAATAATGCTCCCATTTCAGAGCCTCTTAAGCGGAATATAGCCGCTTAGAGCGTTGATAACTTGTTAGTTTGAGCGATGCGCGTGGAGCAGCCACTTTTATAAAGCGTACGATTCTATTAGGCATTTAGCTTGTAAATAGTGACAAAAAGGACAGGTTATAGGGGCTCTGCTACCATTCAATTACTTCCCGATGTTACTAGCCGCTTTACCCTCGGTTCTTCCGAATTACCTCAAATTTGGTATCAATCGGTTACATCCACTGACATCGAGTACCTCCTTATCCGTGATCGATCCGACATTGATTACGAGAGCAAGAGAAAACCTCGAGATCCTTAATCGGTATAGTAATGTCTAGATAGAGGGTATCAATTCAATCGCGATCGAATGGGAAAAGAGACACAGGAAGATGGTGCGAAGAAAGAGGGAGAAAGAAGTGGGAATGGGAGAAAAAGCAAACTTTCTAAATCACAGTCCATCCGAGTCTCCATTCCCGGCGAATCGAGTCGCCTACCGCGACTGGGATGTCTCAATCGCTACCCAACACGCTCCATAATCGAGCAGGAGCGAGTGCATCGGCGAGCGATCGAGCGATCCTCCTCTTCTGAGATCCCCGTAGTCGGCGACGAGAGGCGATCGGTGCCACCCTCGCGCCGGCAGGTACTCGAGGTCCTCGCCAAGTATAGCGTTGTCCATGGACCGAATGAACGACGCCAGCGACGGAGAGCGACGGAGAGCGAGTCGGGGAGCCAGCCAGAGACAGGCACCGACAGACTCAGCCGGCATCTCCTCGATGCCGCGGTTGTTGTGCAGGTTTTTGGTGGGGGACCTTGACCGAGTGACGTTCACCGGCGGCAGGAGCGAGGAACAACGTGCAGCAGGAGCAGCGAGCAGTAATAGCAGCATCAGCGCCGGCCGGGTACCCTACCAGCTTGCCTCGCGACGCGTGTATACCTGTTAAAGTCCGTATGTCCGTTGCTTCTTACAGTCCGTTCGTCCATTCGTCCGTCCGTCCGTCCGTGGCGCGTTCGTCTGTCCGTACGTCCGTCCGTTGGTCCGTTGGTGCCTTCTCTCCTGCCTGTCTCTGTCTCGGGGCCCGGTCCGGTACGTCGGTGGGATAGGACGAAGCCGCGGTGGAAGGAGTAGTAAGCGGCCTACGCAGTTTCAAGCTGGGTCCCAGCTTTTATTAGTTCTTCGGCGCTCGGCGGAGAACGGTGCGTGCCGGAGTGGTAGCAGGCAGTGCGTTCAGGTCCGGGATTACCTAACGACCGTGTAGTCGGTGCGAACGAATCGTCCGAGTGACACCTACGGACTCAGGCGGGGAAACGGGTCTGCGAATCTACCAGGTGGATACCATCGGCGGATGGGTATCGGATACGAAGTTGAGAGTCAATCGTGTCGAGGGTCATCGTCGACTTTCGTCGGGAATCCAGTCGCGTGTGATAATAGAGGTTAGACGCGAGAGTGACTTCGAGGGGTACAAAGTGGCGGACAGTTAAGTTCGGGTCGCGATCGAGTGTCGGTAAACGCGTTCGAACACCGCGACAACACGCACAGTGCGTCTCCATTTATTGGGACGAGAGATAGGAAGGAGGGAACCGTCGATTAGCCGATCGATGATCGATGTTAATCGTCATCGGGATATCGCATCGGATCAGGATCGGGCGCAAGGTGTTCGTCTCGCCGGTCCCACGGGACGAGACACCAGGCTGCCCCGGTGGCAGTGACAGTTGCTGTACGTGAGAGTGTTTTGTTCGACCTAACCACGAGACCCGAGTTCTCTCCTCCTCCTTCGTTCGTCTTCTTGCCCTTCTGTTTGGCTCGCGGACGAACCGCTCCTGCGCGAAGGGGGATATCCTTAAACAGTATACCAGAGGCATTACCGATCGGAATGCTACTGTGCCAGTGAAGGTAAATTGAATTCCGAAGTTCGATACTTTATGCCAGGCCGCATCAGGCTCGAGAGGACTGACGTCCAGGTCTCGGACGAGTCTCTTCTCACGATCGTGCAGCATCCGCTCGGCTCTGCACGCGAAACCGTGTCGAATCTTCGCTTCCACGTCCCGTGTTGCGAGACCGAGTGACACGTAACAGAGGAGATTCGTCTTTGGCCAAGGGCTTCCGCTTCGAGGGGCGGAAATGTCGCGACTCAGTTTGTCGATCAAGGTTACCAGTGTCGTATCGAAGTGTCGCGACGCGACGAGTCGAATCCGGTAGCTCGTTACGTAAAATCTCCATACCTACACGTCGCGTGTTTTGTCAACCTTGGAAATTCGGGTTACCTTACTTGGTCGTTCTCGAAATCGACCAGAGCGAGTGTAAACTCGCCGCGAATTAGGTGCGAGACGCGTTGCTAACCGAGAAGCAAAATATTTACCCGGAGTCCGATCGACACCAACGGTGGAACGTTCTAGTCGCAATTTTCGTCCCTCGAGGAGGAGCCAGTCCTCGCCAAAGCTTCACGCAAATCGCGGTCTTTCGTGTCATTCATTTCGCAACGAACGAACGAACGAACGGACGGACGGACGCGACTCACCTTCGCAACGAGATCACCGTAATTATCCTGATCGTGAAAGAACGTCGGGGCTCGGATGGACGGCTCGTTTGATCCGTGTTCATCAAACGACCGGGAAGGCGAGACGCTAATCGAAAGGGAAACGACTTTCAGCGGACGCGCGCGTGTAGATTGCGGGACCGGGAACGCGTGCGATTTACTCTCGTCGAGCGGGGCTCACGGGGATCTCGTCGATAGGGAAACCAGAAATGCAATGGGAGGGCACTATCGCATTAACTGAAAGATCAATTAACTCGCGTTAACGGACACTTTAATCACCGGCGCGCCTAGGCTAGTTCCACGAGGATGCGTGTCGGATCTACGTGCTCGATCTGCTTGTTGATTGCCAGTGTCATTTTTACTTTTATTTTTTTTTTTATTTCTGTTTTTTCATTAGTAGTTTCTTTGCTAAGTGACTTCATCGCCAGCGAGGAAGTCGGAGGTGAGTTAGGAATTGCGTCCACGAGTGGTCAGAGGTTGTAGCAGGGAACTTCATCACGGTTTTCGAGGTCGATGGAAAATTTGATGGGGTAACCCTGTCATTAGAGCGTAGTTTCGTTTCTAACTGTGTTTCGAACTAGCTTCTTGGGAAAGGATATTTTTTGGCGAAAAATTTTGGGAATTTTAGTTTGACTTTTCCGATTAGGATGTCTCGAAGGTGTTGTTAAAGTAATATCCATACACCGATGGTTTTAATACTGTACTCTTAGAATAATATGGACGATGACTAACTTCATTTACGATTTCTTGAAAATCAGTAGGCAAAGGGAGTTTCTTCCAGGTTTTCGAGGCTGATGGAAAATTTGATGGGGTAACCCTGTCATTAGGACGTAGTTTTGTTTCTAACTATGTTTCGAACTAGCTTTTTGAAAGAGGTTATTTTTTGGCGAAAAATTTTGCGAATTATAGTTTGACTTTTCCAATTAGGATATACCTCGAAGGCGTTGTTAAAGTAATATCTGTAAACGTAGAATAATATGGGCGATGACTAACTTCATTTACGATTTCTTGGAAGTCAGTAAGTAGGCAAGATCGTTCTACGTATTTTAATACCGCGAAATTTTTTTTTCCAAACAAACAATAGTATTTTTTCCGATTCGTGGACGGAAAATAAAATCTGCGTTCACGGGTCTTTCTCAAAACCGAACACGCTGTGCACCGTGATATTTATTTTCTTATTCGCAATTCAGATTTTATTTTCGAACCGCGTAGCCCGTCTTCCCTCTTAAAATTTGTAATCCTCGAGAGACATTTAAATGTCACGTTAAAAGACCGAAAAAGGAGAACCGCGAAAACACGTGAATTATTAATATTTTTCTAAAATCCGAAATTCGAATTCCAAACGAATAGCCAATTCCTTTACCCAATCCCTCAAGACTCCGTTGCAAACTTATTCGCGTGGAAGCATAAAGTAGCGGAAATTTATCGCGGTGACAGGACGATACTCGGAAGAAATGTGCGTATCTTCATCGATCCCGCAACGCCGGAGGAAAAAGAAAATGGAATAAAAATAAAAGAGACGAAAATAAAGAGGAGAGAGGTACGAAAATTAGCGGCGAAAAGAAAGAGAGGCAGGAGAGAATTCCGAGAAGCATGCCAATAAACAGCGCGAGAGATTGAACGCGTGTCGGAGGGGGCCCGGTGCTTAAAAATTTCGCCGAGAAGAAGCGGAGGCGCAATAAAAGGCCACGTGGAGTTTGACACAATTACGAGGGCCGTGTCTCGTCCTGTTTCAGCGTCCTTCTCGACGCGTCCCTCGTTAAGTCCAGAAATAGACGCCGGGCCCTGGCAGCAGCGAGCAGCAGCCAACAGCAGCCCTTATGAACGGCTCAATCCTCCTCCTCCTCTTCTCTTTTCTCCCTTTCTTCTGCTCGCTCTTTTGTTTCGCCTGTCCGCTCGCGGCGAGGCCTCGCGGAATGAAGATCGCGCCTCGTCTTGACGTGCGAGTCCGCTCAGGCTACGCGGCCGAATCTCTCCTCCACCTTGGGGTTCTTTCGCCTTCGCTGCTTGCACGCGACGCGGGAGAAAAAGCGGCGGCGTCGGCCGTGGATCGCGATATTCGGGGCACGAACCCCTTGCGACCTTGGCTGCGTCCGAAGTGTGCCAGTGGAACATGCGCCGGGATGCGCGCCACCTATCGAGCGAGAAATCTTCCCAGCTGATGGAGCTACCTCGGATTGATCCATGGCTTTCTTCTCCTCCGCTTCTTCCCTTTTTTTCTTCCTTTTTACTCGTCCGTTTCACCCGGTGTACACGCCAGTTCTCATGTATCGGGGTTTATAGGTTAGGTTGCCGGTTATTGAGGGAGGTTAGTTTTCAGGTGCAGGTTGTTGGCTCGTTTCGCTGGGAAGCGATCATAGTTGGATGCTGATATTCGTACGCGTGATACGAGGAATAAAAGTCGGGTTGGATCAGATTGAGTCGTTTAGGTCGTTTAAATGATCGTTTGGACTACTTGTTCCTGATATATTGAGCATGTACGATGAAGTACTGCGTTGTGGATAGGGTACGAGATTGGGTACTGTTTTTAATAGGAATTTTTGATCACGTGGACTGGTAGAAAAATTTCTGAAGAATTATCTGAGCAGAATGGCGAGGAATATAATTTGGACTACTCGTTGCTGCTATATTGTGCTCTATTGTAGATAGAATACAGGATTGGGTACTGTCTATCGTAAAACTTCTAACCATATGGACTTGACTGTGCCTTGGATAGGATAAAAGATTGGGATACTGTCTTTAATGGGACCTTTTGATCATGTGGACTGGTAGAAAAATTTCTGAAATATTATCGAGGCAAAATAGTGAGAAATATAGTTTGGACTACTTGTTGCTACTGTATTGAGCATGTAAGACAGTGTACTGTATTATGGTTAGGATGAAAGATTGGGATACTATCTTTAATGAGATCTTTTGATCATCTGGACCCATAGAAAAATTTCTGAAGAATTATCTATACAGAACAGTGAGAAATATAATTTGTACTACTCGTTGCTACTGTATTGTGCATGTATGACTGTGTTATGGTTAAGGTACAAAATTGGGTACTGTCTTTAATGGGAACTTCTGGTCACGTGCACCTATAGAAAAATTTCTGAAGAATTATCTAAACAGAACAGTGAGAAATATAATTTGATAATTTGTCCAAGTGATAAATGACGCGTCATCAGACGTAGCAGGATCGACAGAAGTGTGTTTTTTCTCCCGACTTACAATGGTATCGAGCAGGTGTGATTGTAGTGTTCGGTTGTTCGGTAAGATTTATGTTTCGACGAATTCCGTATGGCTAAAATGACATACTAAATGTACATAATTGAGCAGCGTTGGTGTACAGCACAATGGAGAGGGTCATTTAGAAGGACGCGAATTGTTCGCGTCTCAAGTTTGAAAATATGGAAGTATTGTGGACTATCAAATTGTTCAGCCCGAACTGGCAAAAAAGCCCATTCAAACGCTTCTTTTGTTTTTTTCATTGCCAAGTCTACGATATTTTTTTTTCCTTTATATACTTTTTTCCCCTCGTCCATTATTTCGAAGCGTAGAATGGCGACTTTGACGTGCGTCTCCTTTGTCTCACGCTTGCGAAGTGTTCGCGAAATTTTTACTTTATCAGTGTTGCTTTTTCTTCCGAATTTTTGAAACGAGTAGCATTTAAATCTCCGAAAAAGTCGCTGTTCCTTTACGTGCATTTTGAGGAATAATTAGTCGATTCCTTACACCTTATATTTTTGCAAACAACATCGTGTCGCACTCGTGTCTCCAAATTCTTCCCAGAATTACCATTTCCCAGGTTAACACTTTAACTGCCATGGTGGTCTTCAGTGACTAGGACTTTTCTCCCCAGTGGGGCTATGGTGATCACAAGTGTCCAGTGATACTAATTTTTTAATTTATATTTGTTTTATTTTAACCAATTTTTGAAAATTTGATTAACGTAAATAAATAGGGAACTTTGCACGGAGAACGTTAATAATGTGCATCATTTTTCTTTTTGCCATATTGTTTTGATAATTCATCACTATATGATAATGGAAATTTTATCATGGCTCCATGAGTGTGACAGTCAAAGTGTTAATTGAAAAATTACCACGATTCATTTCCCAAAAGCTTGCGGGGAAATCACGAAACCTGGAACTCGATCTCAGCTAACTCGAATCGCTAAAACACGTCTTCCACTCTCGATCCACTGGATCCCAGCGTGCTTCAGTTCCTTAAATCGACACCAGGGCTTCTACCGTGTCGTAAACATCCGGGATGCGGCCATCGGAGGCCATGGGCGTCCAGATTCCGGCGATAGGGGCGGGATCAAGACTCCGAAACTGGATATTCGCATTCCTAAGGACGTGTTCTCGTCGGT